GCAAGATTATCACACATGGGGTATACCAGCCAGAGACAATCAGCCTTACTCCTCCTCTGATGGACTTGGACCCTATCGAAGAAAGAATTTATTTGGTATGCAACCGTTTTACATGGCTTTCGAACGTGACTATAAAGCGCATGGTGTCCTCATATTCAATTCAAATCCGCAGGTAACGCACTCTTTATGCGAAATAACTTGAATAGCCCATGCAAACACCGTATGAGAGTCGTTATTTGTGATTGCAAAATTAAATTGAAAGTATGATATTTGTTTCAGGACATAACAGTTGGCCCAGCACCTCATCTTATCTATCGCACTATTGGTGGCATGTTGGACATTTACTTTTTCCCAGGCCCTACTCCCGAAGATGTTATTCGTCAATATACAGCTCTCGTTGGACGGCCTGCGTTGCCCGCATATTGGGAACTTGGATTTCAGGTGAGCGGTGAAAATGATTCATCAATTCTTTTGATTTAACAAAATTCGGAACTGTCAGATGCTGACGTTTTCAACTCAGCATTAATGAATATTTATGGGACAATTGTTATCTCTGTTCGATTTTAGATGAGTAATAGTGGCTGGCAAAATTTGACCGCAATGCAGAATATTGTTAATGACTTCAATCGACTGAACATTCCGCTAGATGTGGTCTATGCGGACATTGAAACGATGGATAGTTATGAAGATTTCACAATTGGATACGTAAATTTTGCGATTGTTCTTTATGCTTTCCTAATATCAATCTGTTATCATTCCATTATCATACTATGATCCTTCATCGTTCCATTATCACAGCAGTCATCTGACTGCGTGCGATTTTTTCGGCTCCTATCATTAGAAAATGAATCTTCGCAGCAGAGGAGAGGAAAAGCATTTTACTTTGTGAGAGACTTGATTACAACTAGTGCATATAGGGTCGATAACGCTATATCAAGAACGGTTTTTTTGGCTGCATTATCCTTCACCTTTAGTGTATTATTTTTGCGTGACAGAATTTCACTGCGTGCTTCATATTGACAGTCTGATCTTCTAATCAAAAGTGATCAACAAAAAACAACCTATCAATCGTTCATTTATGTTTGTTCATACTATCTCTGAGTGTTGAG